ACTACTCAAACCCACACTATTTGCAGATGACACTACATACGTCTTCTCTCACCTGAGCCCAGTCATGCTAGCCAATACTGTGAATACCGAATTACAGAAAATATCTACCTGGCTGAGGACTAACAAACTTACTTTCAACATTGACAAAACCTACTTCATTCAGTTTGGTAACAGAGCTACAGATGCCCCTCTTAACATAATGATAAACGGATTCTTAGGAATCCACCTTGATAATAGACTCAAATTTCAAACACATATACAACAAATTTCCAAAAAAATTTCCAAGACCGTAGGCATACTGTCAAAGATACGGTACTATGTTCCACACTTAGCCCTCCTGGCCCTATATCACTCACTTATTTACCCCTATCTCACCTATGGAATTTGTGCATGGGGCTCAACAACAATAAACCATCTCAGACCAATAATTACCCAACAAAAGGCTGCAGTCAGAATGATAACAAATTCCCACTACAGGCAGCACACTCCAACAATATTCAAATCTCTAAACCTACTCACCATACAAAGCATCCATACTTATTATTGTACCTACTACATACATAGAACACTTAACTCGGATATAAACCCTCCCCTCAAATGTCTCCTTACCAACCTCAACAGAACACAAGACCATAACACAAGGCACAGATCACTCTTTGATGTTCCTCGTGTCCATCTCACACTATGCAAAAACTCAATGCACATAAAAGGCCCAAAAATATGGAATTCATTACCTGTGAATATAAAAGAAACACTGTCGGTTTATAAATTCAAGTCTATACTTAAAAATCACTTACTCACCCACAACTAAATAAATACTGAATAATTGTATCTCATAAATGTTTAACCTGTGACCCAATCAAACTTTGTTATTTTTAATTACATTACCTAACAGAATACTCCATTCTACTGAATACACAGCAACACAGTAAATGACCATATGACCTGTCTTTGAAATACTCATTTGTGCTTAATTGTTATCTGTTTACAATAATGTTTACCAATGAATATATCATTGATTAGTTAATCTTAAGTTAATTTTAAGCCTTCCCATAATGCTCTGCATACAAGGGGCTTCGGCATGTTACACTTAACCAATGTATTTTTTTGTACTTCAATGTATCATGTTCAAATTAATAAATAAATAAATAAATCATTTATCCCTTTCTCAGCATAAATCCAACCTGGCGGGGTTTAAGTATATTGTGAGATATTAGGTAGGGGTACACTCACTTATGAATTATTTTTTCAAAGATTATAGACAGTAGGGGTAAGTTTGATATAGGCCTATAGTTATTCACTTCAGTTGCATCACCTCCTTAGAGGACAGGGAAAACTCTTTCCTCTAAGGATAAAAAAGTTAAATATGAAAAACTGTTCAGACTGGGCTTAATAACAAAGGAACAGATAAAACAATACATGTCAATACTTACTAATCTAATACAGAAATGTAAACAACTGTATTATGCAAGCAGATTTAACAAAATAAAGGATATTATAGAAACCTAGAAAACCTGGACCCCAGAAAACTGACCAGAAACAGATGTATAATCATGACTAAACCAGATGAATGACAAATCCAGCCTGCAGACACAGCCAACAAACTTCATCTCTGCTTCTCTGCTATAGGATCAAAACTAGCAAGCAAAATCCCAACCTCAAATACTCAGGCAAAAGACTACCTCACTGGAAAGTCCCCAGATAGGGAGATAGGGGAAACCCTATCCTCTAAGGTATGAATGGGAAGGTTGAAGATTCTACTGATTTGTTAAACAGTGATGCAATAATGGGCAACAGCACATAAGCTGCTTTTCTGTACATGAGTGGTGGCAAATTATTTAGGTTTCCTGTCTTGTTTATAAGTGATTTTATGATGAGTGAGATTTCAGTAGGACTAGTAGGAGCTAGATATAGAGTATCTGGGGACTTTCCAGTGAGGTAGTCTTTTGCCTGAGTATTTGAGGTTGGGATTTTGCTTGCTAGTTTTGATCCTATAGCAGAGAAGCAGAGATGAAGTTTGTTGGCTGTGTCTGCAGGCTGGATTTGTCATTCATCTGGTTTAGTCATGATTATACATCTGTTTCTGGTCAGTTTTCTGGGGTCCAGGTTTTCTAGGTTTCTATAATATCCTTTATTTTGTTAAATCTGCTTGCATAATACAGTTGTTTACATTTCTGTATTAGATTAGTAAGTATTGACATGTATTGTTTTATCTGTTCCTTTGTTATTAAGCCCAGTCTGAACAGTTTTTCATATTTATCTTTTTTATCAACAGATCTGAGGATACTGTTCGTAAGTCAGGGGATGTTTTTTATCTTTGCTGTGATGCTCTTAGTTTTAATTGGACAATTCCTGTTATAGAGGGTTTGGGTTTTCTTGTAGAAAATTTTGACACATTCAATTAATACTGTGGCTGTCGGCTAGCTCTCCGTGTGCCAGTCAATGTCATTTAACCCTTTCAGGGTCCATGCCGTAGATCTACGGCTTTACGTTGAGGGTCCAAACCATAGATCTATGCCAAAACTCTAGCGGCATCAAATTTAGCGCAAGAAGGCTGCTAGGCCTACATCTGAGAGAATGGGTCTGGGTGGTCTGTGTGCGCACTATAGAAAAAAATCTGGACACCTCCATGGCATTGTGGGAATGCCGCCAAAGTAGCTTTGTCCATAATGCCTGGCGGCAAGGAAGCTCTCACTCCTCACTCACTCTCATGGTGAATTCTGACTCTCCTCTTCACAACTTACAGTTCTAAGACTGATGGAAATGGATCCGGAGAGGAGTTCTATGGTTTTGAACCATATGGTACCATATGGTACAATGGTACCATATGGTACAATGGTGCCATGTCATACAATGGTATCATATGGTACAATGGTACCATATGGTACAATGTACCATATGGTACAATGTACCATATGGTACAGGGTACAGGGACCCTAATGGAAATAAGTCTGTCTGACTTTTTTGTTATCCTAGGTTCTCCAAACATATGCTGCTATGTATGATAATCTATGTATACCTAAATAAACTTACAATGCCACATGTGCTTGAGTAAGTTTATTCAGGTGTACACAAATACAGTTACATAGATTATCATACATAGCAGCATATGTAAAAAATCCTAGAATAACCCAGAAAAGTCAGGGTGACTTATTTCCATAGGGATCCCTGTATCTGTACCATATGGTGTCCTGTACCATATGGTACCCTGTACCACAATGTACCTTGCACCATATGGTACCCTGCACCATACAGTACCCTGCACCATATGGTACCCTGCACCATATGGTATCCTGTACCATATGGTACCCTGCACCATATGGTACCCTGCACCATATGGTACCCTGCACCATATGGTACCCTGCACCATACAGTACCCTGCACCATATGGTACCCTGCACCATATGGTATCCTGTGCCATATGGTACCCTATACCATATAGTACAATGTACCATATGGTACCCTGTAATATATGATACCATGTACCATATGGTCAGTTGGAGGTGTTGATGCCACCAGGCAAGACTGAGTGAGTGACGACGCAAGCTAGCTAGTGACTCAAGGAACGTGTCGAGTGGCTGTAATTTGTAAATATATAACAGAACACTACTAATATACAACATTTTTGCATATTTTTGTTGTAAACAATTATTGTAAACAAAATAATGATGAAAATATTAGTGTGTTTATTGTGTTGAATACAACAGTACCATATAGTACCATATGGTACAATGAACCATATGGTATCATTGTACCATATGGTACAATGTACATTATGGTAAAATGTACCATATGGTACCAGTGTACCAAATGGTGCCACTGTACCATATTCTACCATATGGTACCAATGTATCATATGGTGCCATTGTATCATATTGTCCCATATGGTACCATTGCACCCTATGGCACCATTATACCATATGGTACTATATGGTACCATTGTATTCAACACAATAACCGCACTAATATTTTCATAATTTTGTTTACAATAAACTTGTAAACAAGTTTTGTAAGCAATATAAAGATAAACAAATTAGTGCAGTTATTGTGTTGAATACAATGAGTGTACACTTATACAGTATATGTTATACTGGTCTCACAGGCCACAAATGTTGCTAGAAAAAGAAAAAAATTAAAAAAGAAAAGAAAGAAGTATAAAAAACGTAAAATAAAAAAATGCGATTTTGCTGAAGTCACTGATGTTGCCGCCACCCGGTCACTTTGGGTCAACTTCCCACCGCTGTATCTCGGTAAGTACTGATGAGAATTTTTTTTTTGTTTGATTACCTTCACAAAAATATTATCTTTAATTCTGTAAGAAAAAATATTTTTTTTTTTTTTTTTTAATTTCTTGGACACTGGGGCACCCCTTCAGATTTTGGCGTTGGACCCTGAAAGGGTTAATGTTGAAATAAAGTTATTTACTGATGACTCGTCATGAAGTCAAAATGAAATCTAATTAGATTCTTGAGGCAATTTACTTAAGTTGGCTATGAGGAAGTTGGGGTAGTGGTTTGTGATGTTATCTGTGAATATCCCTACTTTTAGTGGAGACACAATATTGGTCTAAATACAGTCAAGTAATGAGGCACTTTGTCTCAGAGATTCTTGTTGGCTTAGTCACAAATGGTAGTAGCAAGCAGCTGTTCATAGTGTTTATGAACGAGATAATCCCCCCCATTCCCAAGGTGCTGTAATGACCATTATAGGTTTAGCATTTCCGTTTGAATATATTAGTAATAATTTTCAGAGAATTCATAGCCTGGAGATTAGATGGAGGTGGGGAATTATAAAAGTATTATCCAAAGGGATGAGTAGGGGTTGTTGAGGTGGTTTGGTCACTTAGAGTGGATAGAGCAAAATAGGATGACTTGGAGGTTGTATAAATCTGTAGTGGAGGGAAAGCGAGGTAGGGGTTGTCCTTGGAAAGGATCTAGGGAGGGGGTAAAGGAAGTTTTGTGGTGAGGGGCTTGGACAACCAGTAGGCATGTGTGAGCATTTTAGATAGGAGTAGAGGCAAATGATTCTGGGGAACTGATGAACCGTTGGAGTGTGAGTAATACAGTATAGTGTTGTTTAATACAGTGTAGTGTAGTGCTCTCTAATAATAATAATAATAATAATAATAATAATAATAATAATAATAATAACAACAACAACAACAGAGTGCCAATGTCATGGCAACATCAAGTAGCAGAACAAGATGATTTGCATAACTTACTTTCTCACGTTCTTTGATGAAGCGTCGTCTCACCCCAGACCACCAGTGTAAGGAGTCAAAGGAAGAATTTTGGTTAAGTACCTTCAGCATATAAGCCAGTCCTGTTAACAAATTCATATGGATATACATGTAAGTCAGTCCTGTTAACAAGTTTATATGGATATTCATGTAAGTCAATCATGTTAACAAGTGTACATAATAAATATAGATAGTCTTGTAAGTTTAGGTAGTAGGTTGGTAGACAGCAACCACCCAGGGAGGTACTACCATCCTGTCAAGCGAGTGTGAAACGAAAGCCTGTAATTGTTTTACATGATGGTAGGATTGCTGGTGTCCATTTTTCTGTCTCATAAACATGCAAGGTTTCAGGTACATCTTGCTACTTCTACTTACACTTAAGTCACGCTACACATACATGTACATACAAGCATATATATATACACACCCCTCTTAGTTTTCTTCTATTTTCTTACTAGTTCTTGTTCTTGCTTATTTTCTCTTACCTCCATGGGGAAGTGGAAATGAATTCTTCCTCCATAAGCCATGCATGTTGTAAGAGGCGACTAAAATGCCGGGAGCAAGGGGCTAGTAACCCCTTCTCCTGTATATATTACTAAATGTAAAAGGAGAAACTTCTGTTTTTCCTTTTGGGCCACCCCGCCTCAGTGGGATACGGCCGGTGTGTTGAAAGAAAGTCTTGTAAGTAATAAAAATTAACAGGCTTCAAGAATCTACAAATCTATGTTAATAAAGAAATACAGAGGTACCTTGGGATACAAACTTAATTTGTTCCAGAAGGCTGTTCGAGTGCCGATACCGAAGGAATTTGTTCCCATAAGGAATAATGTAAATTAGATTAATCTGTTTCAGACCCCAAAAAATACACTTACAAAAGCACTTATATAAATACATTTATATAATTGTTCGAGTTTTGAGGTGTTAGTATGCCGAGGTACCACTGTACATGAGAATTAAAATATCAATAAAGTATTATTCCAATCATTTATGCAATGAAACCACGAAAGTTTTCACATTTATATTTTAGATTCAATAGATGTTGATGAAGCAGTCAACCAAGGTGGGGATATAGTTTTGGAGTAGTTGGTGCAATTATTTAATAAATGTATGGAAGAGGGTAAGGTACCTAGGGATTGGCAGAGAGCATGCATAGTTCCTTTGTATAAAGGCAAAGGGGACAAAAGAGAGTGCAAAAATTATAGGGGGATAAGTCTGTTGAGTATACCTGGTAAAGTGTATGGTAGAGTTATTATTGAAAGAATTAAGAGTAAGACGGAGAATAGGATAGCAGATGAACAAGGAGGCTTTAGGAAAGGTAGGGGGTGTGTGGACCAGGTGTTTACAGTGAAACATATAAGTGAACAGTATTTAGATAAGGCTAAAGAGGTCTTTGTGGCATTCGTGGATTTGGAAAAGGCATATGACAGGGTGGATAGGGGGGCAATGTGGCAGATGTTGCAGGTGTATGGTGTAGGAGGTAGGTTACTGAAAGCAGTGAAGAGTTTTTACGAGGATAGTGAGGCTCAAGTTAGAGTATGTAGGGAAGAGGGAAATTATTTCCCAGTCAAAGTAGGCCTTAGACAAGGATGTGTGATGTCACCGTGGTTGTTTAATATATTTATAGATGGGGTTGTAAGAGAAGTAAATGCGAGGGTCTTGGCAAGAGGCGTGGAGTTAAAAGATAAAGAATCACACAAAGTGGGAGTTGTCACAGTTGCTCTTTGCTGATGACACTGTGCTCTTGGGAGAGTCTGAAGAGAAGTTGCAGAGATTGGTGGATGAATTTGGTAGGGTGTGCAAAAGAAGAAAATTAAAAGTGAATACAGGAAAGAGTAAGGTTATAAGGATAACAAAAAGATTAGGTGATGAAAGAATGGATATCAGATTGGAGAGTATGGAGGAGGTTAATGTATTCAGATATTTGGGAGTGGATGTGTCAGCGGATGGGTCTATGAAAGATGAGGTGAATCATAGAATTGATGAGGGGAAAAGGGTGAGTGGTGCACTTAGGAGTCTGTGGAGACAAAGAACTTTGTCCTTGGAGGCAAAGAGGGGAATGTATGAGAGTATAGTTTTACCAACGCTCTTATATGGGTGTGAAGCATGGGTGATGAATGTTGCAGCGAGGAGAAGGCTGGAGGCAGTGGAGATGTCATGTCTGAGGGCAATGTGTGGTGTGAATATAATGCAGAGAATTCGTAGTTTGGAAGTTAGGAGGAGGTGCGGGATTACCAAAACTGTTGTCCAGAGGGTTGAGGAAGGGTTGTTGAGGTGGTTCGGACATGTAGAGAGAATGGAGCGAAACAGAGTGACTTCAAGAGTGTATCAGTCTGTAGTGGAAGGAAGTTGGGGTAGGGGTCGGCCTAGGAAAGGTTGGAGGGAGGGGGTAAAGGAGGTTTTGTGTGCGAGGGGCTTGGACTTCCAGCAGGCATGCGTGAACGTGTTTGATAGGAGTGAACGGAGACAAATGGTTTTTAATACTTGACATGCTGTTGGAGTGTGAGCAAAGTAACATTTATGAAGGGGTTCAGGGAAACCGGCAGGCCGGACTTGAGTCCTGGAGATGGGAAGTACAGTGCCTGCACTCTGAAGGAGGGGTGTTAATGTTGCAGTTTAAAAAGTGTAGTGAAAAGCACCCTTCTGGCAAGACACTGATGGAGTGAATGATGGTGAAAGTTTTTTCTTTTTCGGGCCACCCTGCCTTGGTGGGAATCGGCCAGTGTGATAATAATAATAATAATAAAAAAAATGATAATGGACATACCCGTAACACTTAGCCTGGCAGGAAACAATAAGTGACACCCGAGGTGTAGCACAGCAGGAAACAATAAATTACACATTCTAGCACAGGAGAAACAGATGCAGGGCAGACTGGAGCTATGAAGCGCATAATGCCATACTTTATTATGGGACTTTCAGCCTATTTTACATGAGCACAAACAATATCTACACAAAATTCACCATACGGTGGTCTGTTGCCAGTCTTCATTTGGTATATATTATATGCATTGAGCATTGAAATGTCCATGAGATGGAAGAAAAGTTTCATGTACCACTTGTAACTTTTATGAACACAATCAACAAAGCCAATCTGCATATCACATTTGTCAACCAAGCGCATGATTTATGTATAATCAATCACTGTCGCCGGTTTTTGAATACATTCATTAGTCACTCGATCAACTTTGCCACTGTCTTGCATTTCATTACGGTGAATGGTTGTCAACAATGTGACATTTCGTTTGTCATGCCACCGTAATGCCATGATGTTATTGGCAGTTAACACCTGCACGTCATCACCACGAGCACCTGCGTTGAGCCTGGGCATATGTTTACGATTAGAATGCACTGTGCCACACACATCTGTCTTGTTCACTCGCAAGAAATCGCTGAGTAATGGGCTTGTGTACCAGTTATCGGTATATAATGTATGCCCTTTACCAAGATAAGGTGCCATCATGCTTCTCACTACATCACCTGATATACCCAATAACATCTTGGTATCTTTCAATGTTTTACTTTCCGTGTATACAACAATATCCAATACCAGGCCACTGTCACAGTCACAGAGTACAAACAGTATTATACCAGAGAGTTTCCTCTTGCTCGGTATATACTGCTTGAATGACAGCCTAGCTTTGAACAAAATCAAAGACTCGTCAATTACAAGATTCGTGAATGGATAAAAGTACATGCTGAACTTTTGTTTGAGATACATAAAAACATTTCTAATCTTGTATAACCTGTCACTTCTGTCAGGCCTGGTTTTGTCAGAGAAGTGCAACATACGTAAGAGTAAGATAAACCTGTTCACTGGGATGATTTTACTGAAGACCGGGGTAGAAATTAGTCGATCTGTGGACCAGTATGCTTTTATATTATGCTAATAGACATGAGGCATAAGCATTATTGTTGCAAAAAGCAAATATATTTCTGCAACAGTCGTCTCTTTCCACCGGTGTACTCTTGGCTGTGGTGATATGATCGTATTTGCCATGGTGTACTCAAAATACTAATTACTTTCCCTGACAATAGTTTCCATCAATGGCTGGTCAAAGAATAGTTCAAAGAATTCCAGTTCATTTGCAGTGTTTCCAAGGGGACAAGTTGGTAGAATTCCACTTTGAGAGTCATCAAAGTGGTGGGGCTTGGGAACAAAATTTGGGATTTTGCTGCCAATCCCAGATACGGTTTGCTGGTGGATACCGGACATCATAGGCTGGTTGTGCGGGTAGTTGTGGTTGTGGAGGGCTGGTGGCTGATGCTCCGCTTTGTCCTTGAACTGCGGAGTCAGCAGTGTGGGTCCCAGCCTGGGCTGGTGAGTCACGCATGGCCGTGGCACTACCATCACCACTACCACCATCTACTGATGCCTGTGGTCTATCCATGCCAAGTGTAGCCACATCATCCTCACTATCACTGTCTATACCTGGTGTAGGGCCATGGGATGTACTCCAGGATGTACTCTGTCCCCTGGGCACGGCATAGGGTACATTACCCGAGCGCATGTGGCGGCGTACATACCAATGCTTCATTGGTGAATATGATTCCTCACTATGACTACTCGAATGATTGTCAAGTGCAATAAAATCACAATCCACGTCACTATCATCATGACTGAAGTCAGAGGCCTGGCCACACGAAAATAATAGTTTTCTCTTGCTTTGAGGTACAACTGACCATGACTGACGAGTGCCCACACCAGAGGTAGAAGGTTGAGGATCGTCAGGGTTTTCTGCACTATTATCAATATCCTGGTCATTCCTTTCGGTCACTAACTGACCAAAGCCAAAGAATTCGTCTTCATTTCCACTTCCATCACTGTCAGAACTGTTAGGTAAGACACATATGCAACAGTTAGGTATCTTTATTTCGAAACGTTTCGCCTACACAGTAGGCTTCTTCAGTCGAGTACAGAAAAGTTGATAGAAGCAGAAGATACTTGAAGACGATGTAATCAGTCCATCACCCTTAAAGTTTTGAGGTGGTCAGTCCCTCAGTCTGGAGAAGAGCATTGTTCCGTTGTCTGGAACAATGCTCTTCTCCAGACTGAGGGACTGACCACCTCAAAACTTTAAGGGTG